AAATCACAAGAACTAAATGCACACCACATTAGATACATGTAACTTGGATATGTTGCTGGTAATTGTTAATCATTATCAATCTTTTTGCCAAAGATTCCTCACTTGAACGTGACAAGGAGTAGGATCGCGTCCAACCTTATGGGTTTTCTCTGGGTCCCCTGGTTTCGTTGCAATGGTAAAATTCCATAGGTGCAAGCGAATTAATGAAATAAAATTGGACCATATGTTAATCCCAAAGTGTCGAGTAGCTGTTAAACCTTCCCTCTCTCTCTCTCTCTCTCTCTCTCTATCAAAGGGTTATTATAATGAATTTCTATACTTGACCAAAAACCTATTTTATAAAGTGATTGCTGAGAGTTTGACAAAATAATTTGCTTTGCCATGTCCAAATAGAAGATCAATACTGAGTGACTACAGTTGATTCTTTTGATTGGTTTAAAGCTAATGGTATCTCATCTAATACATAAAATATACATTATTGTATATACCACAAGAAAACTAGTAAACAAAGCTATTATCGATCTTAAACTTTATTTTGTTGCTCCATATAACTTAACCTTTATGATAGATCAATAAAATGGTGTCACTTAAAAGTTCTATTAATAAAGTACTGTACTGTATGATATAAATTATTCAAAAATATTATCATTAATAATATTCTACCTTCTGGATTATTTAATTACCTAAACCCAATTGTTAGTATGTATAATCTCAAAGCATTATTGGGAGTTATTGTTGGCAATTGTTTTCATTGGTCTACTAGGTTTGCTGACAGAATACTGTATATCGTGTTTATCCATAGGAATTGGAACTATAGCTAATCAGAAACACCACTTTCCATTGGTGCTCATAATGCTCATAACCATGGTTTATAAAATATATGATATACATTGTTATATAATCATGTACTTTCATTGGAACATTGAACTTAATTCAAAGCTCGTTATTTAATTTCATCCCTCAAAAAAATCCTTGAATCTCATTTAAAACAGTCTTGCATTTTCTCACCAGTCAGCGAATATTCCACTAATCAAGACATTAGCCACATTCTATATATCATTCTGTCTCCTCGTATTTAGTCACATGAATCATCAATCAAGGTATTAAATTAACATTGGGTAATGTAACACTGCTGTTTTGCGAACAATAAGGACACTTTCCTTACATTATTATTTTAAATTTGCTTATTCTTATCAGCACAAATGTGAATCTATCATCTATCTATTGTGCTTTTGTATTAAATTTTCTGCAGTGACATATACTATACAAAAAAAGTAGGGGATATTTGATTTTTAAGTGTTATTAAAGTCACCTAATGAAACTGACGAAGAAACAAATGACAAAATGAAATGAAGTTCACATTCATCGATTTATTCCAAATGATCGTTAGACTAAGTAAGGCACAGACTGACCATTATAAGGGTAAAATGATACCCGGGGTCAAACAGCAAAGTTACCACAGCATCACAACCAAGTCAGTAACGGGTAAATCCTCCTCTGTTTGCCAAACAAGCATTGATCCGACGTGGCATACTCCTAATGAGACGTCTAAGGTCATTTTGGTCCAGATTGTCCCATTCCTGTTGCAACGAGGCAGCAAGTTCTTGGACATTGGCAGGACGTTGTTGACGTTAACGTAACCTCTGTCCAAGCATGTCCCAGACATGCTCGATGGGGGAGAGGTCGGGACTCAGTGCTGGCCAAGGTAATGTGGTGATGTTCTGTTGTTGGAGGTAACCTGTAACGATCCTGACCCTGTGACATCTTGCGTTGTCATCCTGGAAGATAAAACGGCGGCCATGACGTTGTGCGAACGGCACAACATGGACTGCCAAGATGTTCTCCCGGTAGTACTGGCCTGTAACACGCCCTGCAACAACATGTAAAGCCGTTCTTCCAGCAACAGTGATGCCTCCCCACACCATAACAGAACCACCCCCAAATCGATCATGTCTGATGACGTTAACGTCTTGGAAGCGCTCGTTTCGACGACGCCACACCCTCCTACGTCTGTCCAAAAAATCAACAGTGAACCTTGACTCATCTGAAAACATCACATTGCTCCAGCGTCGATTATCCCAGTGTTGACGATCCCTACACCAACGACGTCTTGCCTGAATGTGATGATCTCTCAAACAAGGGATCACGCGAGGACGTCGGGCGCGAAGGTGACCCCTATGCAGTCGATTCTGAATCGTCTGGCCACTCACTTTCACACCAGTGTATGTTTGAAGACGAGCGCTGATCTGACACGATTTCTCAAGGCCAAGGTACGGATAAATCGATCCTGGGCTTGAGTTGTCGCCCTTGGTCGACCTGAGCGTGGTCTGTCCTGTACAGATTGTGTATCACGGTATCTGGACCATAGCCGGCTTATGACAGACTGAGAAACATTCATCGTCCACGCCACAACCGCCTGTGTTGTGCCGATCTGTAGCATGCCAAGGGCACGTAACCTTTCATTTTGGGTAAGCCGACGCATATCACAATTTGTTTTCTGGTCACTAAAACAATTAAACTGATGTTTCCACCCTGGAATTCAATGCCACAATGACTGTAACATTCAAAGTCAGAGTCGTGCAAATCTTGGGTTGGACCCCCATGATGATCCCAAGCATCACCTGCATTCCATGCGGTAGCTATTGGTGCGTTTGGGCGTCACATGTAACTGGAAATGTTTCTTCTGTTAGGTTCTATAGTGACTTTTTTCGTAGTCATTTGCATATTTTAGTATTATGCCCCCAAAATCAAATATCCCCTACTTTTTTTGAATAGTATGCAGGCTATAAAATTCTTTATTACCTTTGACTAGTTAACTGTAGGACACATTTATATATAAATTGAAAATTCTATGAATAACGTTTCCAAGCTCAATAATAAAATGTTATATTCAAACTAATCAATGGATTTAACCAGATATAGTAGGCGTTAACAGTATTCACACATGTATTAAACTGTCTAATTTTCTTTGTGCAAAAAAGTTTATTACATTAATAATGAATTACTAAAGAATATTTAACATACATTATGCAAGAACTACATGTAAATCTGTCTATTGCAGGTTTTTCTTTAGGCCTGAAATGTTATCTACATTATTAATTAGAAATTAATTAACCTATCCAGACCATAATCAACTCTAGATGGCATTGCTTGCCTGCGATCTTTAGTGGATTGTGAGCCGATTTACTGCATAACTTTCCTCCACGATTTAACGATTAAATGGATAATCGAGACTATGCTGTTTATCGTAATGACTTTAGTAATGATGATCAAGGCTAGGCGGAAATTCAATCGCTTTGTTCTCGGTTCATAGTGGATCAATTTGAACGAAATTTTCACCAAATTGCCTTTACATTATCTAGTTTCTAACTATTATAGTGAGAACTGTTAACTCATTATCGAATCTCCCATAATGTATCTTTAATGGTATTCGCCTGATGCTTGTTTTGAATAATTCCAGGTTTGAGTAAAATGTTGCATGCAGAGATGGCACATCTTGTACATAATACCTTCTTTACAAATCTCTTTATAAGCATAATTTTCAAATATACCAAATATCTGATTGTACAATTGTACAGATATGAAATTAATGCATACTCAATTCGCACTTACAGCTGTCTACAGAACTGATTTTAAATTTATGAACTTTGAATTCAGCATATTGAATAAAGCAGTGGTTGACTGAGCTTAGTGAGAATGTGCTAAAAGCATTTGTCTATTGGATGAATGTGTTTTTGGCTACGATTGGAGGCCTTTCATTTATTTTTTTTATCATTTAAGCTTGTGGCTTCTGGGAAATAAAATTTTATAGGAAAATAATGCTATATATCAAACTTATACCCCACTGAGAAAGTTCCTTTAGATTATCCAGTCTGCTTTCCCCCTGTCACCATACAGATGTGAAATACATATTAGAAGCTGGTAAACACAGGAAACAAGTTTCCATTAATGCATTGCCAATTTTAGATGTTCATGAAAGCAATGTTGATTTTAGTAGTTCTATGTAGGGTTAATCTAGACTACCGTTGTTGTGTCATCTATCTTCTACAGAGTAAACATGACTGGGATTCAAATGAAGTTACCAGTCCATCAAAAAGTCCAGTCAGTTTATTGTGGTTCAGATTTTTCAAGTAGAAGGTGACCCACTAAAACCACATGTATCCATCAAATAGAAAACACACCTACGTTTATATTTTAATATCGAAGGAAGGGCATTCATTTGTTTAATTATTATGACTGAAAATTTCAGTTGAAGTCAAAGCAATAATTGTGTTGTTATTGTTATTTTATTGATACATTTTATCAGGTTTTATGTTTGTCAATACCACCTGTTATATTACATTATTACACTTCTATACTTTATTGATTTATATATATGTTAATAATTTACATACATTATTTACTTTATCGTTACTTACATGATTTAGTTCTGACTAAATTATTTGGTCAGATAATAATGGTATGGTGTGTAGTTGTTTAAAGATGCAATATGTAAGAGCTAAATGTGCCTATTGCAGGTCTTTTTGTCTGGCTTCAAATCTTACATAAATTATTATTTAGACATTTATTCACATGGCAAGCCTAATATCATCTCTCAGATAGTTAACTATTAATCACAGGATTAGAGGAGGTGCTACGAAGTTGAAACTTGAACAATGGCCATTGAATAAGCGCTATTTTGCTAAATTTATTAGTAAAATAGTGACCGCTGGCCGCGTTGGAGGAGTGACTGTTGATTAAAGAGATGAAACAAAAGAATTTGTAGGGGGGGGCGGGAATTTATTGTGACCACTTACAAGGAGATGCCACTGAATAGGAGTGGCTGCTCCTACAGATTCTACTGTAGTATCGCAAGAATGGCAAGCTCTTTATCTAAATCTACCATGATACATCTTTAAAGTGTTAAATCGTAAATTTTTTGCAACAGTAGGATGAATATTGGGTAGCACTACATAAATAGTTTCTGGTTATTGTCAAGAACTTTTGTTTTATTTTTGCAGAATGTGGTGGACAATTACTGGTAATTTTGGTAATTTGCTTCCAATTGATTGGTCAACCTCGTATACACGGCAGCTTCATACCAAAGTTCTTAACCTGGGAGAGAAAAGGGTAGGTACCAAATACAATTTATTTAACCATCTTTCTCTTTTAACACAAAAACTTACAATTTTTTTCAGTCAGTATCTATGCTTTTCTGTTGTTAATCACTAAATGGGATATAATTATATGATTATTCTAAGGTTAGTTGTGTATAGCTCAGTATACCACTATTGGCGTATTGCTGCATTCGAATCATGTTATATTTATGGTAATTACAAGTTTGTGGGTGGATCATAGGTGTCTCATTTAGTTCTTATGTGTAATGCACCATACAGATATGGGCAGCCAAAGTGGTTCAGTTAGTAAGTTGTTGGCTCACTAACCAGGATGTGCAAGGTTCGATCCTGGTGTCAGCCGAGAAAGTTTCTCCAGATTTTCCAGGGTGGTTGCCAGTTGTCAGTAGTGTGGGATTAAGGGCCTGCATTGAAATTTCATCTAGTTGTTTAGATGGGACAAAAAACTGAGGTACACTTTGGTACTTGTTGGCCTATACTAAAACGAATTTGAAGATCAGGCAGAAACAGCCTTCTTGGAGAACTTCTCTTATTGCACACGCTATTTCATTTCTTTCCATGTTTGTGACATAAAAATGGTCATATTTAACATGGAATTTAAGTTATGCAATTGTGCAAATAAAGATAACAACTTGAAACATGAAGTGTTGTTTTCAAGTTTAAAACTTGTAATTTCTATAGATACTACATGAATCGAATCTAGCATAATTAATTAAGGTCTTTGATTGGATGCAGCTAATCTTTTTCTAGTAGTTGGGTGCATCTCTGTAGAAATAAAAGCAGAATGAGCTAATTTTGAAAATCAGAAAAAATATTTTGCTTTGGTATTCAACTAAATTAAATTTGTTCCCTCCAAAAGTAGCCAGCAAACAAGATGGCCAAGAAAGATTATGGATGAACAAATCGCATCCTTTTTGAACTTCTCTCTCATCTCAGCCTCAGGTCTAAAAAATAAATACAAAATTAAATGTAAGCCGATTTTAAGTGTTTGCTATGTCATTTTTCCCCCCTCTAAGCATATTTATCAACAGGTTGTCTATTCTAAGGCTTGAAAAGATCAAACCTTTAAACGGAAACCATTATTTGCTTTGAATACTACACAAACATAATCCTTAGTGTTTTAGTTTTAAGTACAAGCACAGTATTAACCCAAATAACTTCCTAATGGTAGACCGTTATAAATTAGATTTTAAAAGTGCTGTCAAACAGATTAATGCACTAAAATAGAATGTTAATCCCAGATGCACTTCAAGTCACCTGAAACCTTTAAAGAGGAGTTCCAAATTGATATCACAATTTGTTAAAACACATTGGGGGAAAAATATTACCAAGATTTTAATAGCAAAACATGACCTAGATGACAGCCATGGAAATCTGAGAAACAAGACATTTTAAGCATGATTCTCAGAAATTTGTTGGTTTCTATCTATTTTTAGCTGAAGACAATAACAGACAATAACACCGATAAAATTAATTTATCCTGCTATGTTCCGTTATGATGTTTAATGTTGTTTGTGGTGTACGTGCTTTGGTAGTGCATTATTACAAATAATGTTTTATGGGTATTTCACTTGTTATTTAAGGGAAAGGACACTGTTCGTCCTTCACCTTCAAACTTATGGGATTACCGCCCTGGTCCCACATCGAGAATGAATGGGCCTCGACCTCAGGCTAGCAAGAAGAAGGCCCCTCTATGTGTACAAGTAAATATAACATTAAACAATACTCTCTCTTGCTTTGCCTCTATCTTTCTTGGTGAATTGTGGTAATCTGTAGAACTATGTCTGTCGTTCCACCAAAGTTGGATTTTTTCCAATAATCAAAGTACATGTAGTTTATAGAAATTACCCACTCAATTTGTTTAATTTTTTCGTAGGTGTGTTGCACTATTAATCATGGGATTTTGGTAAAAATATTCACAGCTAAATTTCTCTATATCAGTCTTTAGAAGATTGATATTTTGGTGCTCACTTAAATTTACCCACGGACATAGAACTGTTTGTTGTTTAATGGTGCCGTGATTGGTTAATTATTAAAACAACTCCATGTTACACTTATTGAAGATTTCCTTTGTTAATTATTGATAATAAACAGGCATGGAAACTAGATGTATATAGGAACTTGGGCTTTTGGCTTAAATCCAACTTTTATAAGCTTTTTCCTGTATCCAGATTTTTCTTACATGAATGGTACTGAAGATAGGGTTTTGTAGAGATTAGATGGTTAGATATACAATGTACATGTCAGTTTAATAGAGGACTTGCCAATTTCAATATGCATGCAAACATTGGCTAACCAAATTGATTTGACCATTTTAACGAAGTCCCTACGGGGTAAAGGTTAGTGCATGGAGTAAAACCAAAGGCGTGTCTAGTCAATGGCCTTGATGCGACTACAGTCCGAATACAATCTCCAAGCATGTTTGAATAATATATAAGATGCTTTTTAATGTTTATATATTTCACATCTGATTATGTTAAAATGACCTGAATTCCTTCCAGGAATCAAGATTTCTTTTAGTTTTGTCAATCAAATTTAAGTTCTACATAAGTTCACTATAATTCACCCACATTATACTTTAATCTTCCTTATAGTGAGGACAATTTCTACATTTATGATTTACATCGATTTTGTGCTGGATTGAATAATGTAAATGTATATGTTTTTTTTTTATGAAACATAAAACTCTCTATGTTCTTTTATTATGACCCATCTTCAGCATCTTGCAACATATTTTATTCCTTATTACAAAAGAGCTGGGCCCTGTTTCTCGAAATTTTAACAAAAGATGATATCCAAATTTTAGTAGATACTTCAGTTTTGATTGGCTAAGCATTAAAATCAATCTAATATTATCCAATCAAATTACTAAAATTTGGATAAACAATTTCGTGAAACAGTCCCTGTTTTCAAACAACAAAAGGCCACTTTCCTTCTGATGGAGCATGTCTGGGGTTGACCCATATCAAAAATTATACTTTTTTAATAACAAAATACAGAATTATAGGTGCTGGTAGACAGGACGACTTAGCTGGTTGTGGGTGTATAATATACAAATTGTTTGGAAAACCTCCATCTATGTTTATGTACATCTGTATGCAAATGAATGCTAAAGCTAGAATAAATATTTTTTATTATATTTTGACATGTTGTATCAGCTTAATATTCATGTAAATATTGATTCTGGCATGTATAGTCTGTAGCCAGGATCTTCAAGATAGAGAAACATGTACCAAAGGAACTGATCAATCATTCCTTACCAAAGATAACCAGATATGTACCACAAAAACTTTGATTTATGTGTTCATGTATTAATAAATATGTATATGGGCGGCCTTATTGTTAAAGACTTGATTTGTTATTTTAGGTTAAAGTATAGCATGTATTGTTGTATATTGGTATCATAATTTCATCAGTCTCTTTTGAATCATCCATAGATTGACTCTGACTGTTGTGAAATATTTTCAGTACAGTACCATTCAGTTAGCAAATTGGTCATTTCACCAGGAATTAAGTTTGTCTTCTCTATGGTAATTCTACCATTATTGATCAAATCCTGTAGGTGTTATACACAGGCTTGCGGAAGGTGACTTAGTGAATCTAGTTAGGTTGAAGATGAGTTTAGTAATGGTCAGTGATGTGTTGGAAGTGGTCAGTACAAGATTACTCATCTCCATCATTATTATTGACTTCTAGTAGGCCTATGGTTAATTTTATGAGATACGAGTTGATTTATTGAAGACGTGATAACACTATCCAATATGCTCAGATATTGAACACCTGCCATACAATAGGAAAAGTCCTTATTTCTGTTTGGCTAAAGGGGCTGTGGTAGTTGAATAGGTAGGGGACTGCACATTTGACTTAAATGCTCAGTGTTCCCAATTGCCAAGTGTGTCTCATATTGTTTAAATGGGGCTGAAAACTGAGGTCCACCTATGTACATGTAAAAGAAAAACTTGGCATTTAGAATTCAAAGAAGAGTAGGCCAAAATGTCATTGTCCAGGTAAAATTCATCTACCTCATACATCAGTATAGAAATTAAAGGTAGGCTCCCTACCAGATGTTAGTCTTAAAATGATTGAAGTATTATGTTGACAAGGTATTAAACTATTAAACCCTTTATTATTCCATTCCAGTCTTTAGTTCAAATTCGAAGATAATCTTCTTAACTCATCCAGTCTGTCTTTGTCATTCTAATAATATAGAAATGAAATGAAATGGGTTTAACGGCCTACTGTTCTGCTTATAATTTAGATAAATTCATGTTGTAGTTAAAATACAAAAATATAGCCCATGATTTTGATTTTGATAAATGCTTCAAAATAATTCATTTTCCAATTTTGATAAAGCTTGAAATAAAGGTTTATATCCCAAAGATCTTGGCTCCTGTTTTATTTTTAGCCTGTGAACACTCTAGAGGTCACAATTTGTATCCGATAATTACGGTTGAGTTTGAATTTTGTGACCAAAACTGTCTAACAAAATGACCACTTCTAATTACACAAGTAATATAATAAGCTTGTAATACGAAGGTAGTGGACCCTCTAGAGTTCACAATTTTTGTCAGATTTTGATGAAACTTAAATATATATGTTTAGATTCCAAAGATCGCGGTTTCTTTCAATATTGTCGCATGTCAGACTGTAACATCCTGGATTATGTCCCCTGATTGTATGAATATATTCCTATCGCCCCTGTCGGTCGTCCACAATTTCTTGTGAAGGCACTAACGCCAAAAGTTATCATCTGATTGTTTTAAAATTGATATATGTTGTTTACATTAATGGGATGAAAAAGACTATTTATTTTCAATAATTTATGTTTATTACGTCTAGAGTTATGCCCTTGTTTCACTTTGTTGAACGTTGTAAACATTCGAATGACAAAAGTTGTCATTCGATCTGTATGAAATTTATATTCATTATTTAAATTAGCAAAAAGAAAAAGCCTGTCAGATTTCTAAATTTTCTGTAAATTGTTTCCAGAGTTAAGGCCCTTGTTTTAGTTTGTAGAACCTTGTGAATCCTCAAATGATAAAAATTATAATTTGATCTGTATGAAATTGTCTTTTAATGCCCCAAATTACCTACAAAAAGAAAAAAAAAATATGTGACAACCCTTTTCGACCGCTCGGGCGATTTAATTGCTGTGGGTGTATGTTTCCTTGCCTGGAAACCTACCTTTTAGCTTGTTCTCTATCCATCTTTTGCAAAATGTGGGCGTATCTTGCATGGCAACCGCTTGTTGAAAATAGTTTGAAAAGTTTGGATCTGAAATTGAAAGTCAAAAGGGTGCAAGAATTCTGTATAAATGCACTCTTGTTGATTACTAGTAGCTGTGGGAAAGTTGAAGGTGAATTTCTTGAATTTTACGTTTATGTATAGAAAAATATCTTATAAAAGACTTTTGACTTTGTCATATAAACTCAGAAAATTGTATGAGTTTAATAAATAAAACGACCCATTCTGTCCAAGAACAAACTGTTTGATGTCATGAAGAACTAAGCTTGGGCATGAAATCCTGATTTAATACATTTGATGATGGAAATATGTTAGCCTCAAGCATCAAAGCCATCTTTCACTTACAAGAGCAAAATTAATTGGATTTGAGTGTTGTTTTTGCTGTGAGCAGATTTTGTGCGTCATTAGTTTGAAATAGACTTTACGTTCTGTATAAAGACATACAGACCATATTAGCTGCTCAAGCCATTTATAATTTATTTCATGTATTTATTTATAGGATAAGAATCATGGAAATGTGAAAACTTGAAAATATATGCGGTCCAAAATAGTCGGAAATAGTATTGGAGCATACCATTTTTACAAATTTTATAGAATATAAATCTTAAAGACTTTGGTCAATACCTTTTAATATGCCAATAGAAGGTTGGATCTTGGATGGTGTTTTTATACTCGGAATCTATTGGAATCTTCTTATTTTCTTCTGCCATCAAATAAGCAATGATCGATTTTCTTAGTTTTTGTTTAAAAGCCTTTAATTAAAGCTTGTGGATTGGTTAGTGATATGGTTTATTGACAGGAAATTCTGGCTTCCATTTTATAAAATGATCTGCACTATTGGAGGTACTGGTATTCTTTTAGTCAAGATCTAAAGAAACATTTTAAATAGGTAGATTTTAAATTCTTGTTAATAGATTTACATCAGTATGAAATTAATGCATGAGACTTTTCAGGATTCTTCCGGAAATTGTTATAAACTTTTGGTTTAGATTAAAGATCCTGTTTGAAAATCTAGAAATAGGAAGTGACAATAGGGAAAAAAAAAACATTTTAGCATCTATGGTTCCAGAACAAAAGCCAAAAGGATAAATTTTAACAAAGTTGCTAGGTTCTATAATTCATTAATGATTGGAAGTAACTTTTTTTTTATTGTGAATCTCAATCAGTAATAAAATGCTGACCAGGAAATTTACTGAAGTGAATATCCTTATCCTTTCTCAGACATCATTAAATAAATCAAGTAAAATAGAATTGCTGTGACCTTTTCCATTCTTGTGTTTTATAAGACATGATATTGGATATTCATGAATTTGATGCCACAGAATTACAGGAATCAATTTTTGTCTCACATGGAGGCTACTAATACATTCAGATAGGTTTAATGACAATAGCATGTCTAAAACACTTGGAGGTAAATTATCCCAGACTATGTTTTCTAAAGATTTAGGAGCGAATGCTT